TCAGTATTAGCAATACCAAATTTGGTTGCATAATAACCAACCAAGTCCAATTTGTACCTCGGATCCATCACAACAGCAACAGCAAGCAGCAGATGAATATCATCCCAGTATTTTGCAAACTTAGCCCACATTTTCTCAGCCATAGAAACGATCATAGGATTAGGATCAACTAACCACTCCATCAAACGCAACCTCAAGTCGCATACTTTAGGGAAAAAATGATTGGCTGTAGGGTAGTTTGAACCAGAAAATATTGCAGTAATGTCCTTGAAAACCTCAAGTTTCTCACACAAAATATGAGCAAACTCCCACTGCTCGTGGGTAGGCAGAGAGTTGTATTGAGGTTCTCTGTTTTTCAGAATAGCAAACACGTCCTTATATGGAATAGCAGCAGTAAGCATAGCAAAGGTAGAATTCCAACGTGTAGGACAATCCAACACCAATTTCTTGGAAACAGCCAGTTTAAGCTGTTGGGCAGTTCCATGGAAAATTTCAACTCGCCTCGGAGTACATGTCCAAAATACCACACTCTCCCTGATGTTTTCAATTCCATCTTTGAGAACATCAAGGCCATCCCTCACAATTAGATTAAGGATGTGAGCAGAACACCTCATATGAAGAAGTGTCCCATCCCTAATCATATTAGATAGGACCAGCCTTTGTTTCACTAGATTGATCATGGAATCATTGGTAGTACAATTGTCAAGAGTGATTGTTGACAACGTACTATCAATGTTCCAATCTTGGAGGCATTTAGCAAGCTTGGCAGCCAACCTCTCACTAGTGTGTGGGGCAGGGAGGTAACCAAAAAATATAAGATGGTTCCTAAGCTTCCAAAAGTTGTCTATGTAATGGGCAGTGACAGCCATGTAAGCCCTTTTTTGGTTTGTGGCAGTCCACAAGTCAGTGGTGATAGCTATCCTCCCTCTGTTTTGGTCCATGACCTTCTGAATTTTAGACTTCTCTAAACCATAAATGGTCACTATGTCTTTCTTTATGGTATTTCGGGTTGGGACTTTGAAGAGTGGGTTCAATGTGCAGCAAAATCTTTTGAAATATAAGTGTTCAACTATAGAAAGGGGATACTCATGCACCAAGATCATGGTACAGAGCTCCTTTCTAGAAACCTCACTGCTGAATTGATTGGTAGTCATGTCAGCCGTTCCACTAACATTGTAGTTAGCACCAAGAACTTTTTGACTCCCATCATGTATTTTTTTATGAACACATTTGTTCCTATGAGTTCTAAGATGGGAGGTACCATTAGTAGATTTTGCAGCCAACACCTTCTTACAGTAGTTGCATTTAGCTTTCAAAATTCCAGACACCATTACCCGAGTGAAGTGAGGCCACACATCAGACTTTAATGATCTACTAGCACCTAAGGGAAGTTGAGGAACATCATCTAGAGGTTCAGGAGGGTTATTAGGATTACCAGGGGCTGGGGCAGCAGCATTACCATTCTCAAACTGTTCGGGTTCCATCTGATTAAGAGGAAGACACAAGTAAAACGTCTCAGAATTATGTCTAGTTGTATTCTTATTATATAAAAATGTTTATAAAGTAGAGATTAGTTGTTCAAAAGATTCCAACTTAGCTATCTCGAACTTAAGTGAACAGTCTAGAGGTTCCCAACTAAATTGTTTCGAAGGTAAGTACTTAATAGATTAAGTGTGTTTAGTACTTAAGAATAACATAAACAGAATCAATGTATTGAAACTATATGTGTTTGGTACTTAAGTATATCATAAACTGAATCAATTAACTGAAATTAATCACTACCAGATTAGCTATTTTGAACTTAAGTGAACATGTGTTTAGACTTTAGTACTTAAGCATAGCATAAACAGAGTCAATGTACTGAAACTATATGTGTTCAGTACTTAAGTATACATGTTAAGTACTTAAGCATCAGGCTTTAATGATTCGATGTTAAGTAACAGATTACATGTGTTTAGACTTTAGTACTTAAGCATAGCATAAACAGAGTCAATGTACTGAAACTATATGTTTTTAGACTTTAATTATTCGAACTTCAAAGATAAAATGTGTTCAGTATTATTAAGTCACTACCAGATTAGCTGTTTTCGACATAAGAATGACATAAACAAATTCATTCACTACCAGAACCAGATTAGGTGTTTTCTACTTAACAATAGCATAAACCAAATCATTCACTACCAACAACAATCAAGGGCGACGACTTACTTCAGCAGACTGTATTTTAAGCGCCACCTGCTTGATGGGACTCCTGAACAGCAAGCTGCAAAAACAAAAGAGCAGGAAATAAGTATCAAACTCAAATAATCTGGAAAGCTATGGTATTTGGAAAACTAATCGAACAAACTACTTTAACTAAGCTTACCGAGAATGACAAACAGGTAGTGGGATTCCGAATTCTGGAAGGCTAGGGTTTCTGGGTTTAGGGTTCTTACTGCAGATGAAGAAAATGAACAAGTCAGCCTCATATTTATACCCTTATAAGCATTAATCAAACAAACTACTGTAAAGTGTAAACTAAACTTACCGAGAATGACAAAAAGGTACTGGGAATCGGAATTCTGGAAGGCTAGGGTTTCTGGGTTTAGGGTTCGAAGAACTGCAGATGAACAAAACAAACAAGTAAGCCTCATATTTATATCCTTAATCGATTAAGGAAAGAAACAATGAATCGAATACTCAATACTTATCTCGAATTCTCGATCTAGGAAAGATATCGTCTGCATGCACGATTCGAGTTTTTTGTTCCTTCGATTGAGACATTTTCGATGGCTGGGGGCTGGATTAAGGGTAAGATGAAGGATTATTGGTGATTAGATCGTAGATTTTGGTGGGAAATTAGTAGAGAAAGGAGGAGAATTCGTCGGAATCGTAGGGATTTGGCCAGAATTTGTCGATTCGAGGGTTTAGGTTGAGAGGAAATCGGGGACGAAGAGGCGGCTGCGTTGGTGAAAATGAAGACTGAAGTCCCTAACCCTAAAATCCAAGTTTATATATGGAGTCTATTGCGGCGTCGTATTGCTATCGGGCCGGGTACGGTGCGGGGATCACAATATCCGTCCCCAGCCCGTCACCGTCACCTGCGGGTCTCGGGCCTGCCCGTAACCGCGAACTTACCCGGCCTCGCGGGTTTTGGGCCTTTTCTATCGGTCGGGCCCCGGCGGATGTCCAAGGCCCGCGGGCTGATTGCCATCCCTACAAACGAAGTGCATTAACAATAAGTAGAAAGCCACAAATGTCTCATTTTGTAACAAATTAATTTAAGCTATCCAAAAGAAATAATTGTTAACCCCTGCCTGTTGAAAAGTCAGGGACTCCTGGAATAAAATAATCAGCAATAATCACCATTTGTTAATTATTAAGCAAGTGGGAGATTATAATTTATTTGTGACAGCTAGGTTTAGTATGAGAGTGCATGTATTATTGTTTGCAGCAGACCACTTCCCATGTAATACAAAAAATTTCATTTCTTCACGAACTAATCGCCTGTTTGATTAAAGAAAAGGGAATCGATTTATCTTGTTGTTTGGTTTGTTAGTTGTTAGTTCGTAGATAATAAAAGAGTGAATCCGCGGTAGGTACCGTGCAAGAGTCAAAAGCAAGCCCAAAACACGAGGTTAGGAGTTAGGATAGTATGCCAAATCCATAATTATTATATTAGTGGCCACTGATCAAATGTGACCCCTGACCACCTCCATTATTAATCTTTGATTTCTACTATTCTTGTTCCTTTGTTGAACTTCATGAAACGCAATGATGCATCTTCTTTGCCAGGAAATAAAATATACAAACCAAAGCCCCACCGTAAGGTATGCATTATTGTTTGTTAGTAGGATAAATTAGTTTGAGTGGTTCAAGTTTAGTGATTTTAATCATCTGATTTATATACTATGATTTCAAAAAATACTAAACTCAAACCCATAAAAAAGTTAGAATTTTACCGTTTGTTTATAATTGGATGGAGTCGAATGAACGATACTTTTAAGTAAAAACTCAACTCAACCGGTCAACCCAACACAAAACTATTTTACACCACAAAAAATATAATTAACCAATTAAAATTTCAAACAAATGAACAAAGGTGGAAAATACTTCAACATATGTCTAGTTTTTTCCACAAATATTTGTAAAAAGAAGCTAAAAAGTTTACAAGCTAATACATGCAATACTTAAACTTTCCTTTCAATCACCCTCAACAATTGGCATGCAGCTGCGATATACCATGGTTAGTGATTAATCGATAATCAAATTGATAACGATGGTTAGTAATTAATCAATAACCGATATTTTTTTAGTAAGTTGGTTTCAGTTAGCTATATTTTACTTAGCGGTTAATCGATAGCTTACTAATCGGTTAGTAATAATTAACCGATAACCTAGTATAACTACATAGTTTTGGGTTTTGGTTAAAAGAAAAAGTCTCAGGATACAAAACCGACCAAAATAGCAATTTCAAACATCCCAATTTACACCTATTGCAATCAACCCTCCTCCAAAAGTCTCGAATTTGTTTAAGAGTCATAATTTAAAAGTCACCCTTCTCTGACTCCCCTTTGCAGTCCGCGTGGAGAACCTCGCACTCTAGTAGTTTTTTTTTTATTTGATGTTTTTGGATTATGATGATGATTTTGTTGTGCTTGTGTTTGATGTCTTGTTGGTTGATATTAGCTAATTGGATGAGTGGCTTTTGTTTATTTGTAATTTTATGTGTTTGTATTATTAATTTACGGTGGACGTTGTATTCTATTGATGTTATTTCTTATAGGTATTATTTTATGTTAAATTGTTTTCAATTATTTATGATTATATTTGAGTATTCAAACATTGTTCACATTTTTTTTTTTAGAAAATGGCACGTACAGGTAGAAAATACTCTCTGTCTCTCCGAGCGTCTCTAACTCGCCGGTGGCCGAAGTGACGATGTCAAGACGACCACCGGATCCGACTATTCTGTCTTTCTCACCCCAAGGAGATCAAAGTGTGCAAGGCAGTCCACCGCTATGCTACAAGTCGGCGCTGGCAAGGTCTCTGGCGTCACCCGCTGTCGCAACCCAACAGTGGACTTCATCAGCGAACACGACCTCGAGGTGGACTCATATCAAGGGGAACCAGAAATGAAAATCTCCGCCCAGCTGAAGGAACGCCTTTGCGCCCCATGGAAGGGCACGCTGGTTGTCCGGCTATTAGGAAGGTCAGTCTCCTACCAGTATCTCTGCTCACAATTACGTTGGAGATGGAGACCCAGCGGAACCATGGAGATTTTGGATTTGAACAACTCCGCCTTTCTGGTTAGCTTGGGTAATGAACAGGACTACCTCAACGCCCTGACCGGCGGGCCTTGGGTCATTTTGGATCACTATTTGATCGTCCATCTGTGGTCGCATTCCTTTCACACCTCCGATAAACCACATCGAGCCATGGTGGCCTGGGTTCAGCTACCAGAGCTTCTGATCCATTTCTATCACTGGGAAATCCTGTTTGCTCTAGATAATTTACTGGGACGAACAATCAAACTTGATTATCATACGGAACACCTGGAAAGCGGCAAGTTCGCAAGATTGGCCGTAGAACTAGATATGACAAAGCCATTGAAGACCCGTATCCGGCTAGATGGTGCCTGGCAACAGGTGATGTATGAGAACCTTTCGGAGATCTGTTTAGAATGCGGCCGTTTTGGTCACTCTGAATCCACATGTTCCATCGTGCATCAATCTCCCAGGAAAGCACCACAAGCACAAACATCGAAGGTTTTGGTCACGGCGGAAGTCCAATCGGAGGAACCGACGGCAGGGTAAGGACCATGGATGCAGGTGGTGAGGAAATCACGCCGCCAACCAAGAAAGGTTCCCGCCAATCAAGGGCCGTCCCAGGGAATCTCAATGCGCAAGAGTGGTGGATTGGGAAAGTCACAAACAAAATCCGGCCAAAATCATAAAAACGAACAAGGTAACTTGGCGGATTCGCGGGGAAAAAAGGGGAAAGAAGTTCTAAAGGGGGATCCTAAGAAAGGAAAGCACCAACCTAATAAAGGGAAAGGAGCAACAGAAAACGAGAATATGGGGAAGGGTGGTAGACAAATGGGCTCGACTCAGGTGTGGCGCTCTGTTGGGCCAAAACAAAAAGAAGTCAACCAAGCCTCTTTTTCCATGGTTACGGATAAGATGGGGGCCCATACTGAGAAGGATCCTAGCACATCCGACCTCTTCCATTAGTGTGGCGTAGGAGACCAAAGCCAAGGTGTCAATCCGGAAACACTAGAAGAAGCGCTCCCCGAACACTAGCTCATCTCTAACGAGCAGCAAGCAGATCATGCCCCACGAACTGAAAACAAATCATGGATTAAATCCAACGCCAACCAAGGTGAAAAGGGTGCTGCAAAAGCGGAAAAGCCCAATCCAACGGAAAGGGGTCGAGGACTTCCTCGCCCAACTGCATCTTGATCCTTTGACTGGCGACGTGAAATCAGAAGAAAGGGAGGTCGATGACCGCATGGTTGAGAATACGGAAAGTGCAACCACCGCTACGGATGCGAATCTGGCTCCCGAGGAGGCGAGTTAATCGACTGATGGATGCGGCATTCTGCCAGGGAAGTTCTCGTCCTTCTTTAGTCTGTTTCTTCTTATTTACTGATGCTTAAAATATTTAGTTGGAATTGTAAGGGGGCAAAACACCCAAATTTTCTTTCGACCTTTAAGGAGTATATGGGAACCCACAAGCCTAATCTAGTCTTCATTGTAGAGCCACGTATCAGTGGTAAGGATGCAGAAGATGTGATTGGCTCGATGGGGTTTGACAAGCATATTCTTGTTGATGCTGTGGGTTTTTCTGGCGGTATTTGGGTTTTGTGGAGACATGCGGATTTCACGATTGTTGAAATAGATCGAGACTCACAATTCCTTCATTTCCTATGCACAGGGAAGAACAACAATTCGTTCATCCTTACTGCTGTTTATGCCAAGCCCAATGATCACGACAGGCTTCCATGACCACATTGTTGATTGTTTCAGGAACCCGTAATGCATCATGAGATGTAATGAGACCTTGCTCGTGTTTCTGCCCAAGGTGGACGCCCCCAAGGAAATAGCTCAATTTAGGCCCATTGGACTTTGCAACGTGAGCTATAAGGCGGTAGCTAAATGCCTGGCTAATCGTCTTAAGAAGTTCATGCCACAGCTGGTTGATCCGAATCAGTCTAGCTTTGTCCCAAAGAGACATATCACGGACAACATCATAATTCTTCAAGAAGTGGTTCATACAATGTCTCGCCAGTCAGGAGCCACAAGCCGCATGATCCTGAAAATTGATTTCGCTAAAGCCTATGACAAGATCAACTGGAATTTCTTGGAGTCGACGCTTTTGGCAGCCAGACTTCCTCGAGATTTTGTTAAGCTTGTCATGGCTTGTGTGACTACCACTCGTTTCCAAGTTCTTTGGAATGGAGGTTGCACAGAGTCTTTCCAACCGACCAGGGGTCTTCGGCACGGATGTCCCCTCTCACCCTATCTCTTTACCCTTTGTGTTGAAAGACTCAATCACTGCATTAAGGATTATGTTGACAGGAAAGCCTGGAAACCAATTACTCTATCCAAGGATGGACCCCCACTCACCCATTTATTTTTTTGCAGATGATTTGGTGTTATTCAGGGAGGCTAGTCCAAAACAGGGAGATGAGATCTTAGCATGCCTAAATAGATTCTATGAAGCCTCCGGGGAACAAATCAGCAGGGATAAGTCTTTTGTATTCTTCTCCAAAAACACCAAGGAGCATCAGAAGAAACGGATCAGTGATATGTTGGGGGATAAAAGCTACGAGTAATCTGGGTCGCTATCTAGGTGTCCAGGTCATCCATGGCAGAGTCACCAAAGACACCTACAAATAAATTTTGGAAAAGATCGATCAGAGGCTCTCAGGTTGGGAAGCAAAGAGTCTTTCTTTGGCAGGACGGGTTACCTTGGCGGGATCGGTGTTGAATGCTCTCCCTAACTATGTAATGCAGACATCGGTCTCCCCATCTCTGTGTGCGACACGATCGACAAAAAGTGAGAGGCTTTGTTTGGGGTGTGGAAGAAGGGCACGCTAAGACGCACTTGGTAAAATGTGAGACAATCTGCAGACAAAAAGAAGAAGGAGGTCTCGGAATTCGGTCGACCAGGGCTTTGAATCTCTCCTGCCTGATGAAGCTGGGGTGGGCTTTCCTGAATCAATCAGAAGATCTCTGGGTCCGTGTCCTTCTAGGAAAGTGTTTTCGAGCTACTGCAGATGGGACCATGGTCATGAAGAAGAGCAATTACTCTAGGCTCTGGAAAGGGATCGTGGACACATGGCTAATTCTTAAGCAGAGGATTGTTTGGGATATTAGGGAAGGTCGTAATGTCCACTTTTGGACGGACCCGTGGATAGCGGAGGGAATGGTGCTAAGGGATCATGTTACTAGCAATGGGGACAGGATCAACTGGACTACTACAGTGGCGGATATGGCCACCAATGAAGGTGAGTGGAAGTGGCATGAATTCACGCAGCACCTAACTCCAGACACTGTGACTTTGGTTGCAGGTACGGATCCACCGCTTGCTGGATCAGGGGAAGACATCACAGCCTGGGGATTGAGCCGGATGGAAAGTTCAAGCTCCGCATAGCCTATGCGGCGGCTGCGGATTGGATTGGGGACGAGGTCCGAGAGTTGGAAGAAGCAACTGACCAGGCGTACTGGAAGACGCTATGGAAATGGACGGGCCCAAACAGCATTAAGCATTTTCTATGGCTACCTTTTCATGACAGGTTGATGTCGAATGCACAGCATTAAGCATTAAGCTTGTCCAATCTGCAGAACTGGATCGGAAACTGCGGAGCACATTCTGCGACACTGCCCGAACTCTCAACATGTATGGCGGAGGCTAGGAATTCTTGATAACCTTCTTACGTGCAGCCTTGGGTTTACAGGTTGGTTGGATGCACACCTCAAGAAGGAAGAAGAAGGCATTCTCTTCAGAGTTGCCGCTTGGTACATTTGGAAGCGGCGGAACGAGAAAGTCTTTTATAACCTTAATCAGGAAGACCATGTGTTGGTGCACAGGATCAAATGCTGGACGAACACTATCCGGCAAGCTCAAGCGGACGATAAGGCCTCCCACACTGCTATCCCAAAGAAATCCGCACACCAGATCGCTTGGGATCCCCCCCCCCCACACACACACAGGGATGAGTATGCGTCAACATTGACGGATCTATCATACAACCTGGTTCGATAGCAGCAGATGGTGGGGTCATCCGGGACTGGACGAGAAAGTGCAAGGGACCTTTCGTTGTGAACCTGGGGCGGTGTACGATCACTAGAGTAGAGATTATGGCGGCCATCAGAGGGCTGCAGATAGCTTGGAGGGCTGGCTACCGTGTCCTTTAAGGAAAGTAATCCCCACACCATTCTTACATCCCCGGACTAGACGGAGCATAGATATCACAACTTGATTCATCAATTTTGAAGACTCCTCGCAAATAAAGGCCACGCTGCTCGCATTGGCTTCCATGATTTTGATATTACGGACCTCGGTCTGTCGTTTTAGCTTTTGTATGACTTTGTGGGCATAGCTCAAACCCGTTTAATTTAAGTTTCAGGAAGGGGTGTCCTTTTAGCGTCCCGTTTTCCAACCCAAAAAAAATGAATCAATAATAGGAGGTTAATAGATAATAAGCCTTATTATCTATGTTATCGATATGCATTTGTTTGCTTAGTGGTTAACCCAACAGATGGATTAGCACTAATGTTAAAATCTGCATTCTTTCTTGAAAGGTGTTAGGTAGTGACGGAGCAAAAAATCTGTTGTCTTTTGATCTTTTGGTTACCCCTGCTGACCACTCCTCGATCTATTATTTCCTTTAATTTACTACTAGTTTTGACCCGGCCCGTTGGCCGGATTACTTTACTAATTATGGAATGGGGGAGAGAGTTGGAGTAGAAAAATATTTATTTGGGTCGAACCCACAATTTGAATCTATTTGAGTTCATATAATTATACCTATAAAGAAATATCGACCATCTAGATATTCACATTAAACCAATTCACACCTTCATTATCGGTGTTTCCAGATTTATGTTTGTTATACAAAAAAAAATTACATTAGAGTCGATATTCTTTTTTTTTTTTTTTGGTAACCAATGTAATAGGTCTAATTTAGACTCAAACTAAATAGTCGTTTATTTGTATGACCTTCAAGTGATATTACCAAATATGTTTTGACTGGTAATAAATTGGGTAAGGGAAGGATTTTTTTTTTTTTTTGCAATTCATAGTGGAGGGAATTTTTTGGGCCACGTTTGGCATTAGTTGTTCAATCACCACCACATCCAACCCTAAGGTATCACTTTCCCAATAAGACTTTTTAATTTACTGCGAAATGAGATTATCTAAATTCCTTCAGTTTTGGGTTTCAAAATAGTAGATTTGCAATCACTTATTTACATAGTTTCCATATCCTACTTTTAAATGTTTGAGATTTAAATTTTCTTCATCTAAAGTTCATAGCAAAATATGAACCTGTAAACACTGAGAGAGGTGAGTGAACAACTAAAGATCACAATGATTGTAGCTTTAGTGGTATGGAGGTATATTTAAGCTCATAAATCAATTAACTGCATCTCATCTTTCATTGAAAACTAAGCGAAATTTAGGAAGCCATTCATTCATTGTTATTAGTCTAATTTGTTATGACCAAGATTGTCACTCGATTCCACCAATGAGTCGTTTAAGCAAGTCGGTTAATGATTAATGGATGAATTGGATTAATCTGGTTAAGCCTAGCTTTACCCATGTGCATGAAAATTTTATTGATTTCACATGTATTATGCTTAGATATTTATGAAATTCCTATGATAAATTTAGATACAATGACGATTTAATATAACTTATTCGTTTGAAATTGAGTTTCATTTTTATACTTTTATCTCACTTGGAACTGATGCTTTAAAATGACGCTATAATTCTAAATCTCTTGCCTCTTTCTTTTTATCTTTTTTCATTTCATTTTCTAGTTTTTTCTTTTCTTCTTTTCATTGCATATCATATTTCATTCTCAATGTTCTTACTCTTCTTCTCCAATTCGATTTCATGTATATATACAAATGAGGACATCGGTCTTTGTTAATCACACCAAGTCTCAATCCAAATATATGTTCGTCTAATCTTGTGGCTTATTCTTTGTTTGGGATGTGGTTGATTGGCGATGTGACCTTGTTGCTAGAAGGAAAATGAAATTGACTACTGAGCAACTATGTTGGCTTTTGAGATGATTGGGACTTGTATTGTTGTCTGCCGATACTAAAGGAGGAAAAGATATTAAGGAATAACCGAACACTGGTGGTTGATGTATGTTGTTGCATGGGTGTTTGATAAGAAAAAGGAGGACATGTCAACAGAGCTAGTGATTAGATTTGTTGAAAAGGATGTCTGTTTGAAGTGACTTAGTGCTTAGATGAGTTAGTTGAATCAACTCGATATCCTAATTCAACTTTTAGTTTGACCAAGTTTGGGTTGATAACCAACTGGGCCTCCAACATCCTAACAAATACTCGGGTTTGGGCAAAACTGATTCGCCCTACCATGTCAAACTTGGGTTGACAATCAGGCTTATGATTCTTGTCTTTTTTGGAAGATACATTGGTTCAAATTCCAATATTTGTTTACTTTCTACAAATAAATAAGTTTAATAATTGTGAAAGCAAATATACCATTCATACTTTCGCTCTCGTTGTAGAAATTTGAATCGGGAAAATACTTTTATCATTCTACTATTATATATTGTATTGTGTTTAAACGTAGACATATGTCATCCCTAGAAATTCATTAACATGTAAAAAAATGGTGAAATGAACCAATTATTAAACTCAATCTCGGACAATGATCATTGGATCTAATCTTGTCAGATTCAGAACATGTTAAAAGCTTAGCAGTTAACTCGGCTAAAACGTTAAAAAAACCAGTCCCATATAGTCTGCATAAGGATATGATTTCTTCATAGTTAATTCTAAAAATTAATACTAATTTAAAATTTTATCATTGCTTCGGCCTATTTAATACTCTTAGTTTATATGCAATATTCAAACAAGTGATATATGGGTTGCAATTTTAAAGTTATCCTCTTTTTATAATATAAATTAAGTATTAAAATACAATAAAAATAATAAAAAATATGAAAGTCGAAGGTCAGATCACCAAATAAGTACTTATGAGAGATTTAGTTGCTAACTAACCGCTGAAAAGGTCTTCTGATTTTTGAGATTTTAGGTTTGTGTATGCTTTTCTTTTAAAAGATACAACAAATATATGTAGCGTGATTGGTTGTAGCTCTTCCCTCTTTTAAAAATGGTCATGGTTCAAATCCCCATATGTATATATTTTTATGAATAAATAAGAAAGAATAACTGAATAAGTAGTTTTGAGACAAAAATGTCCTTCCTACTTTTACTCTTCATGCATGAAATTTGAAATTGAGCCATGAGTTTTGGCTTTCACCTTTAATAATACTAGCATGGACCCGGCCATTTGGCTGGAGAAAGGTGAGGTATGAAATTTGATAATGTAATGGGGTGTATAACTTATTGTTGTATAGTTTTTTTTTTTTTTTGGAAACACTTGATAAAAAGAGTGAATTTTAGTAGGAAAAGAGACATGAATGATGCAACGAATCAAAAATCAGCCTTATGAAACAAAATCAAGTACCTGTTACCTTGTGAAACAATATTGTTTCTGGTAATATGATGAGGTGGAGTAAGTTTTATAGAAACCGAATTCTAGAAAATTGAATAAAAAATCGCTTATCCCGCCGGTTTTCTGGAAATGAGCATCTCACAATCGTTGCTAGCTTTTACTCAGCCCGTTGGCCGATAAATTTGCTTTATAAAATTTTCATCTTGTCATCATTGTGTTTTCTAGTTTTTTTCCAAGCCATGATAAAATTTGAAGAAATCAAGAATGAACAACATGATTTGGGATAGGAACCATCGTTCCTGTATCCCTAGAAAATGGTGGTAAACACGGACTCACCTGCCAAACTGGTTTGAATTGAGATTTTTATCGGGTATCAGGGAACCATGTGATTATAAATTAGACTTGATCAAAACGGGCCAAAACTTGAAATTCAGCTTGTTTGACCGACCCATGCCAAATTCTAATTATTCTTTACTTTTAAACTTTCTATTTGAAAATAAAAAATAATGAAAGAAAAGAGATGACTGCAATTCGCCATTTGCACATCACTGATTCGAGAATAAAACTATAGAATTTCGAAAGGAATCTGAAAATATTTAGGATCGTTTTAATGTTAAAAATAACCAAATAGATCTTTTTGTTTAGTTTTTTACTAACAAATACGAAATGATTCCCTATAATATACACTATAATTTAATCATTATGATATCAAATAATTATATAATATATATTTAAAATGATAAAAATTGGATTAATTGGGTTGGTCGAGGTTGAACCATTGAATAACTTTAAAATACATTATATTTTAGCCACTAAGATATAAAATAATAGCATAATATATATTATGCTAGAGAAAATAGCTTGTTTTAGAATGGCAAACCCATGATGTTCATTTGTTTTACTTGATGGGCAAATCCCGTGTAGGTCAGACCCATTCAACTCTTTTATTTTATGATTAGCGGTTAGCCCATTAGAATCCATGCATTAGTTTATTGATAAATTTTTTTCTTTTTAGCAATAAAAGGGAGTATTGTTTTTGCCTTTTCATATATATTTTACCACCACGGAGAAATAAAAGGACTTAAAGAAAAAAATTGACACTCCTGGACCAGTTTAAATTCGCATATGTACGGTAAGTTGGCCCATTCCACAGAGGAAAAAGAAAAAAATTGACACTCCCTATTCTACCCTTCCTACAAACGCTCATGGAGCATGGAATTTGAAATGAGGGAAGAGTTTTTTCCTCTCTGCGATTATATGTTTTTAATTTTAAAAAGATACAGCAAATGTACTTAGTGTGATTGGTTATGATCTTTGTTTTTCTTTAAAGTGGTCATGGTTCGAATCTTAGTAAGTGTCTTTTTAATGAATAAAAAAAAAGTAATTGTGAAGACAAAAATGTACTTCCTACTTTCACTCTGGATGTAGGAAATTTGAAATGGAATTTCAAGTTTTCTCATTTGGCTTTTATTTATTTATTAGGTAGATGTGTTATTCTTGTGTCTTGTCCTTTGTTAAACTTCATGAAACACGATGTTGCACAGCTT